AAGAGATAATTTGAAAGAGAAAACTCTAGATATGAATATAGCCAATATAAAAAATAACTACAATACTATTTCGCTTGTACATGGATGCTATAATCTATCTTCCGGTGCTTCATTGGTGTTTGTTTCATTAAGCTTTCACAATCACGGTATTAAGTAGTCAACTATATTGATAGCATGTGCATTGCACGTGCGTCTAACTAGTTTTGATAAAAGCCTAGGAATGGAAAAAGAAAAAAGGGCACAGATGCACATGGTTCCAACATAATAAAGAATACCTTGGCGCTCTGTTCTTGGCTCAGGCTTTGAGCCGAGCCAAATAGCATCTCGCCTACGAATTTACATTTTGAATAAAGCCTGGGAATGGAAAAAGAAAAAGAGGCACAGACGCACATGGTTTCAACATAATAAAGAATCAATGTACGTGAAATCTCACGAAAAAGGATTTACCCACTTGTACATAAGTTTTTGATATCCTACTTGATGATGCAATGTTGACAGCAGATGATTGGACAAAAATTAACCTTTTTTAAACCATCCATTGACAAAATATCACATGGCAATCTGTCAAGGAAGTGCACAAATAATTTTGTACACCAAACATGATTTGCACGAATAAATACAACTAGCCCACAAAGTGACTTGCATACACGGCGTGAACCCCAAGTGACAATAAAGCATATCTGGACCAACATATACAGAGTTGAGATCTTCTGTTTAATTTTTATTGACCAACTTACTATCTATCAATTAATTATTGATACATCATTTTACATTAAAATGTCCATACTTTTAAACATAAAGAGTAGTTAGAGAAAATGTAGACATTAATTTAAAATAACGTGTCAATAATTAATTGAATGAACAACAAACTCAACATGAAAAATTAAAAGAAATCACTAAGCTCTACCTATACTTCCTATAAATTTGTTGCTGTTAACACCTATTTTGGGTACCCCCATCATGGTAATACTCACAAGTAGGAATGGTTTTCTCGAAATCTCTCGTAATAAAACAAAACTATTTTTTTTTTTCCAAACTCATCTTCAAACCAAATATTCTCGTAATAAAATATTTTATACATAAATTCAAAACTTTTTCATATTTCTTAACAATGCATTCTTCGAAAAATCACTATTCCAAAATAACTCATTTTCATGTCTGTCAAAATAACCCATTTTAACTTTTTTTTACTACTGCTCGATAAATCAAGAATGCAAGCATTGCCCAGTTTAAACGCTAGTTAAGGAGTGATTCATGAAGGCACAAATCATATTTCCACTGAAATCGACCCGGTTAACAAATGAGCATTCAATAGCATTTAGCCTGAAAACCCCCAGGGATTAATCAGAACACGATCAATAAAACATTTTTTCATGAGAATCCAGAAAGAGCATGGACCAATTGACAGCATCACAGAAGGAAAATACCAACATTATCAAAATGTAAGACCAGTTGTATCAAACTATTCCATTCCACTACACCAAATGGAGATATAGTTTATTCTCTTTATTTTCAGTTCTCCTCATCGCATTTGAATGATTCCTGCACTGACCAGTTTCTGTATCTTGTTCATAACAAGAGGATTCCTCGCGTGATCCTGCGCAGCCTTGGGATTTTCTTGGAGATCGACTAAGACCTGTTGCCATATACAATGTAGTTATAATCATAGGATTCATTTCTGGTTTTCTATAGATATCTCACAGTTGAGAATTCAACATGTTATACCTGTTGCATCACTGGATCCTTCAGAATGTTCTGAATCTCCGGGTCCTGCATTGCCTTGGCCTGCAAAAAGCAACGTATTAAAACTGTAATTCAAACATAGCTCCATAA